ACCCCCGTAGAGGGCCCCCGTCACTCAGGTTCCTTCCACCTCGTGGGCTAATCACCCACCGGCTCGCATGCCCGTTGAACTCCTCGATCCGTGTTCCTTCTAAGGCATGCGGGAATAAAAAGACCCCGCCAGTGTCCCAAACATGCGGGAGCTCATAATATGGTTCTACTTTTCAACAACTCAACGGTATCTCGACTGAGCTGGGCTTCCTTAGGTCCGCGGCCGGCCTTGAATCCGTGCTCGGCCTTGTCGGAGAGCACGAAAATAATAAAATTTAAAAGTCAGTCCCGGGAACTGGGACAAAGAACTTACCGTGGTTCCCTCCTCGGTCCTGCGAAGCGGCCCACGATCACAGTCTGCAATTGCTCCTCGGGCAGCCTCACAAATACAACTCACTCCATGCCACCCTATAGCACCCCCGTTATCGCGCCCCGAAACGGGACGCGAGGAAAGAAAAATTGAAAACTAGATTATAACAAAAGGTATATAAGAAATTGATAAAGGAGATAAAACAGGAAAATGAGGGTTCCCGTGGATCGGGCCCGCCACCGCACCCGCCAACAAAAAACGAGGGGAATAGCCCTTTCGGCCCCTCAACCCCTCAGGTCTCGCTTCATGCTGCTCCACTGCTGCTGCGCCGACGCCGGTTGGCCTCGATGCCTGAACCTCCGTTGTGTAAGTCCTACATTGTAACCTATAGGGCTAAGCCCAAACCTGGTACCAACAGGCCTGAGTTACTTAGTAAAGAGGTAGCCCCCGGCCTTTTGGAGCCAAGGGAGCCGCCCCATGCCACTTTTCCCGGCCCATACTTGCACAAGGGACCACTCAAATTCACGTCGGCCTACCGACCTTGCCGCGACTACCCGCCCTTAGCCAAATCCATCAGGTCCCATCATCTGAATTTCCACGTAAGTCCATACCCGCTCACTAAACCATCTGCCGTACCACGCGGAACCAAAGAACAAGGTACTCATAGGCTAATCAGTTCAATCAAAACAAAAAAAATGGCATATGCTGACCAAAATCCTCGCCACGTTAGCCAGTGTAACCAAAAAGAAAGAAAAATCATGCGCGCCTCAAACTTGCGCGCCCACGCACTCTTTACTCTAGCCAACCACCTAGCCAACATAAATTGCAGACGCAGCCACGCCTAGCACGGTATACTTAAACTCTAACCCAAATTGTTTTCTGTCGTTTGCAAAGATGCCCGAAGAATCCCTGCAATTCGAACACCATGTAAAACGTTCGTCCTCTGGGTACAACAGTCTAAAAGGGTCAATCAGGTCCATCTCCTCCGTCAAAGTCAGTAATGCGAGCTTGTTCCTTAGACAATCCCTGGTTTGGGGATTATTCAACAGATAAAGCGAGGAATTTCAGTCGTCTGTTACCACAAGAAAATCACTCTCCGGAATAACATACAACAAATCCGAATAAAAAAATTGTTCGTTCCTTGCAATCGGTTGGTGCATAAATAGTAATGATTACCCACTCTTGATCAACGATTATCAGCTTAACCCAAGCCCATCGGCCTCGTAAATCGAAATAATAATCAATAATTTCACACTCCAAACGTCTGTGAACTAAGATTGCTACTCCACCTTTCGAGCCCTGCGTGGGGGCCCAAACTTGTGGGCCATCCCACCAATTTCCCAAACTCATTATTTTTTCTTCATTTAGTTTGGTCTCCTGGATACACATAATATGAATATTTTTCTCAAACATCCATGTTTTAAGTCTTTCCTTTTTGTGTCTTCCAATTATGTCCCCTAATCCGCGCATATTCCATGTAGCTATCTTTAGTCTAGACATTCCTAGCAGCCGTCCCTCCCACTGATTGGACACGAGGGTTTACCGACATCCCCCCAGAGGAGGAGTTTGACCGAGAAAGCCAGGGTTTCGTCAGTGCTGATCGCAAGAAGGGACCGGAAAGTTTATTGTCCCTAGGCAGTTTTGCGTCGATTTCCAGCATGACTTCAGCGGACCAGAAGGGGGGGACTCTGATATGACATAATTCCAGACGACGACCTCCACAGAACCATTCCAGTGGAAGCAATCGGAGCGCAGAAGGGGGGGACTATGATATGACATAATTTGCAGACGACGACCTCCACAAAACCATTCCAAATGACCGTGGGCAAAACGAACATCCAATATGGGAATGAAGTACTTAATCTTCCTACCATTCCCTTCAGGCGCATCTACTATTAGGCGAGGCATTAATTCCTTTACGACAAAGCGGAACAAAAATTTGTCCCGTGTCGCTATACGAATTAAGGTAAGGATGGTAGAAGGCATCGGAGATTCAGGGGAAGCTAACGTATCAATAACAGGATGCCCATCCACTCCTACCCATGCCACAACCCAAATTGCATTCCTGACAAAGCAACACAGGAAAGGTAGAATACGCCTTTCGATATTTTCAGTTTGCCCTTTGGACAACGAAACTGTTGTTCGACGCCACGTGGTTTTGGTTCCAGGGGTACCTACCTCTTTGACGTGACCTTGCGAACCTTCAGATTCATGTAGAGATGCATCCGACCTTTCTCCCTAGAGACCCTCCGGTCCCTTAGCTGTTGAGTCAAAGCTCAATCTCCTCTGTTTGCTGGTACTTTTCTTCGTTGTTAACCGATCTTTAGACGAAGGACCATCTGCCTGACTGGCTACGGTATTGCTATGTGCCAGCTATTGGAGAGTTACTTGTAGCGCCGGATCTTCCCTCGTAAGCGCCTCAGGACCCGCTGGGTGATTACTCCGATCATGATACACAACGCCTGATCCCCAAGGATGTGCCACACCTGGCCTTCCCAACCTCGAAGACCCACCTCCTCCCAAGGGGAGATGTGGGATGGGTTGAGCAAATTGGTTGAAAAACTGACCTCCTGTCTGCGATGCAGGCTGTGGGTTCCAGGGCTCGAACGAGGGAAAGTTCCATGGCGTTAGGCCTGGTAGTTGGTGAAACTGCTGTTGTGTAGACCCTGGTAGTTGTTGCTGTCCTCCGGTCGTGTCGACAGGTCGAGGCGAGAACGTTGGATTCATTGAGCTAAAGTAAGGTTGAAAACCCTGTGGAGCCGGCTGGAAATCATTCCTTGATCCCCCTGATGGAGAGCGCGCCCCGTGAGGAGGCATCTGTCCTTGATACGGAGGTCTTGACGAAGGTTCTTGTCCGCTTGTTTGATTCGGGGGCATCTGCCCCGATCGCTGATTTCTTCTGCAAGTATCTTCCGTATGGAAGAAGGCTCGGCATCTTCTACACCTCGGCGTCTTCGAGGAAGCGAGTTTTACCTCCAGCTGGTCCCCTTCGAAAGTCTCCAGCCATATAACATCCTTCATGTTTGACCTCGCTGCAGGGTCGACATCAAACTTGATGTTGACTAGCGAAAGCCTCAGCCTGTCCGGTTCCGAGGGATGACGCCTGACTATTGGACCAATTGCTTTCTGGATGTGAGCATCCAAAAACAACATAGCATCCAATGGGACTTGAACAACAATCACCCAAAAGGTGAGTTGATCCTCCTCTCGTCTCTGCTCCTTCAATTGTGCCTTAGTCAACCACGGTTTGAACTCCAGCTTGTACGTCGTAGAGCCGAGCGTTAGTTCATCCGGCCCCTTGTTGACCAACCAAAGAGCAATAACTCTACTCTTGGCCACATAGGATACCACGTTGGAGCACTCTATCTTGACTCTTCCCCGTCTAAAGCCTTCCTCCTCGAAAACTCCCTCCTGGATTTTACTATCTTCGTAAGCTCTGATGATGTCGTCCTTGACCTTTCTTGGCAATAAGCGAGCACCTTCTCTGAAGATGACAGTGACTGTGTGTTCCTTGAGCCACTCCACTTTGGCTTGGTCGATAACCACGTTCACTTTAACCGTGCTTCTCTCCCTTGAATCGACATTTCCCCTGGATCAATATCCGGGGGAATGACTACCTCTTCATAACATAACCTGATTAACTCCTTAATCCGTTGGTCCTCCTCCCGAGAACCCCTTGGGTCCGGTGGTGGTGATCTCGCTTCTCTTTCCATCACCACTTCCTTCGCCATTACTCCGCTCAGAGACAGTGATTGTTAGAAACCCTAACGCTTGCCTCGATACTTCGCTTAGTCTGTTGCTTCTACCTTAACGAAGTTATAGAGGTTACCAAAACCAACTTAAAACATCGACTTAGTGCGGACTTCCTCCCAACAACACGAAGCCGACTCTTCGAGCAAAGCGAAGCAGCTACATAGCCCCCATCCACCGTAGCGCCATCATGGCAGTGGCGCCTTCGGCCGAGCATAACTCCGTCACCGGTCTGCTAGCGCTTGGTCCGAAGGCCATAGCGTCGGCGGAAGCGCCCCGGTCGTTCCCCCGCCGGGAGTAACTGCTGGCAGCCTTAGCCATTTTTTTTATTTTTTTTTTCTTTGTCTCTTCTTATTACCACAAGTAAAACTTGAGGCCGGGGACCTCACAATTCAACCCGGAGTAACCTCTGGGAGCATTACCCAGTTTCGCTTACGAGCACTTGCTCGGGAACCACTTCAACCAAGAGACTCAGGAGCCTAGGAAACTCAAGGAACAAATTGACCAAAACACAGGCCTGGAAAGGAAAACAAACCAAGCTTCAAGCCTAAAAAACCCTCACAATCCAAAAAAAACAACCCTAGGGACCAAACCCAAAACCCAAACCTACCTACCCCCCCTCCTTCTCCTAACTAACAAAATCTTCCGTCTAATAACGACGGGTTGACCAATCCTCCTAAGCCAAAACTATCCTAACCTCCAACCTATCCTGCTCCTAATAAACAAATACTCCGTCTAGCATCGACGGGTGGACCCCACAGGGACTCACAAGGGCTGTTGTGGTGCTCCCGCCTCTATTCTCAACCCAACTGCCATCCTCCTGTGGATTTTAAGGAACTGAGCAACCCAGGTTCAAATCTTACTACACCAGCTATTCCATACTAACTTCCCTGATTCCAACTTCACCAGCTTGCCTTCACTACCCCAGGTGTCCTCGAACCACTTAGCCGAGCAACCCTGTCCCTTCCTCATCCAATCTGCTTGAATAATCCTTCTCAATGACATTTTGAACATTCCTCTAATCTCCTTGTTTGTCATCTCCTTGTTGTCGAATATTCGTAGGTTCCTCTCTTTCCAAATGACCTCACAGCCAGTCGCACGAACCACTTGGGCGATATAACCCCATCCTTGCCTGGGATTCAAAGAATCCAGAATTCCACCCAACAATACCCAGATTCGATTCCAGTCCAGACAGTTATCAGTGAGGTCAGACTAGAAATTATGCCACCACTCCCAAACCCACTTCGAGGCTGGGCAATCATACCACAGATGCGTGGTGGACTCATATGCCCAGCTACATCTTTTACAAGTCATTTCCACATCCATTCCACGTTGCACTAGGTTTACTGTCGGGGGAGTGGCCAGTAAGGAGAGCAGCCATGGGTTAACTGCCAGTCTTAGGTTCAAAGCCTTAGCCAATTGTCCCCAGCATCGGGTCAAGGCTTTCTTGATTGTGGGATAGTCACATTCCAAAACCTGGCACCATCTCGTTGTGGCTACATTAAGCGGAGTACGAGCAGGGGTCTGAAGCTTATATCCCAAATCTGCAGAGTACGACGAAAGGGGGACAACTTCCCCTTTTGGGCCTTCCCCTTTCCAGCCCCACATTTTAGGATCCAGGCGAAGGCTGGAGATTGGGAGTCCATATGCACATACGTTACAAGTCCAATTTCCGTACTCATCACAGAATTCCCGCACCCGGATTTGGGTCAGGCCTGCAGTAAGAGGGGGGTAGTGGCATCAACTTGTAACACCAGTTGACTAGGGTGGTCACTTTGTACCCCAATCCAAAGTTGGAAGGATCTTTTTCCGTCACAGTCAATATGCTCTAGTTTCCAGAAGGAATTTATAGTGGTTGGATCTTGGTTAGTATACCAAGTCCCGGGAGGGTCTACCCCTTCTGGACTTAAGATAAATTTCCATTGCTATGGAATCGCGTTGATAAGGTCTTCTCTGCGTTCTTCGACATGTCGTACCGCCCCCAATTGGGTTCTCAGTTTCGATGGCAGCAGCCATTTGTTCTCAAGAGCGTTTCAAATATCGACAATCCTTAGTACTCCTCTCTCAATCTAGCAGCGTCCAAAGCTAGCATTTGCTGAATCTGCTGCAAACCAGCTGTTGTCGGATTTCCTGATGGACGGATTTTCGAATACAGGTTGCAACAGGATTTCGGCTTTTGTAACAGGCTGTAACCACGTATTTGGCTGTACCTTTTTCCAAACTCGTATGATAGCTTTCCACAGGTCCGAACCAATTAATCTGCTCTGATGTGAGGGGAGTAATAAGCAAGTCCACGCATCCGATGGTTTCGCCAAGTTCCATTCCATTGCCAGAATGGATTCCGCCATGGAGATCCAATGAGCTTCCTCCAGAGACATGATCGCCTGAGTGACCCAGCGGGCCAACATGGCGAGGCTCTTACGGTATAGGTCAATCATTCCCAGACCCCCCTCTTCCTTGGTAAAGCATAACAGGTCCCAAACTACCTTTGACAAAAAGCCATCGTTGTCCCCAGCATACGGATTCCATATAAACCTGGCCGCTCTTTTGCGTATAGCTGTACACAGAGGCTTTCCTAGGGGCCTTACTGCTGCCACAAACCACAGTAAGGCGAACAAGGCCCCATTGATCACCATTGCACGGCCTATCAGAGAAAGGTATGGGGCTTTTCCCCAAATGGAGGCTCTCTGCAGGATTCTTTGCAGTAGAATACCTTCCTGATCCACCGTACACGTAAGTAGAGATACCTGCACCCCTATAAATCTCTCTACCTATCTCGCAAGTATGTGCTTCATTCCCCAGTTTACCACTGGTGTTAAGGAGTCTGGAAGAAAAAACACAGACTTTGACCAATTGACAGACGCTCAGAAAGGGACGAATATTCATCAATGCATTGTTTTAAGGCTGACATAGAGGATAGCGTGTTCTCAGAAATGACAAATAGGTCATCCGCTAGGGCTTTAACTTGGCAATGGGACGTTCCTGTAGCAAGACCTTCAATCTGTGGGTTCCCCCTGATATTGCATAACAGATTCTCTATTTGAAGCACAAACAGAAGAGGAGTCAGGGGACAACCCTGTCTCAAAGATCTAGTTAAGGCAAAGGATTCAGAGAGGTGGCCATTTACCATTACTGATGTCGTGGAAAGAGGATAAAGAGCAACGACCCAGTTACACAAGTTTTCCCCAAATCCCACATGTCTAAGTGTGGTGAGTACATACGTCCAATTTACCCGATCGTATGTTTTTTCCAAGTCGAGCATAAGGATCGAGGTATTGGCATTTGTGCTCCCCACTATCTTCAGGGCTTCAATTGTCGTCACGATATTATCGAAGATCGACCGACCTTGTACAAAGGCTGCTTGATTTTTGTCAACTAGCGCAGCTAGGTACCTGCCCAACCGACGTGTCAAAACTTTGGCTAGCAATTTATACGAAACGTTAAGTACAAAAATGGGTCTCCAGTTCCTGATCTCTGAGCGATCCCTTTTCTTATATAATAACGATATTATTCCGTTTCGCATGCCCTTTGATAATTCCCCTCGTTTCGCATGCCCTTTGAAAATTCCTCTCCCACGAGGATCTGGTTGTATAGATTCACCAACTCTGTTTTAATCGAGTCCCAAATTGCCAAGTAAACCTCCACAGGGAGACCATCGTCTCCCGATGCTTTGCCGTGTGTCATTAAACGAAGGGTTTCCCCTGCTTCTTCTGAGGTTATCATTCAGTCCATGTCAAGTCTGCCATACTAAGACAATCTCGCCTTGAACAGAGCCTAGTGATTAAAGCCTTCTGATAGGTCCATAGTAATGTCCTCATCCGGTCTCCTGGTAGTGAGAATATCTTAGTAATATAGCACCGCATAGGAAGTCAGTTGTGTACAGTCATGGGTTAGAGACTGACCCTGATTGAACGGATGCATTAACTCACTCGTCGGTTGAGACAGGCGTTTAGGCAGTAACTTTTGAAAGGATTCACGGGTCATGCGGTCATAGGCCACTATGCCCTTCAAGTTGACTTTCAGTCGCTCTGCCCAGGCGTCTGATTGTTCCTGTTGGAACATATCCCAATCTGCCATTAGTTTTTTCCTCTTGTTACTCCATACCAGGTTAAAAATGGGGTGTAAGCCCATGCGGAGCTCAACATATTTCACTTTTTCCTCAGGCTGTCTTCGTACTGCCTATTCTTTGCTGCAAGAATTCTTGAAAAAATACTCAAGTGTTTCGAAAATATCCGTGAGCCTGATTCCCACCATGCAGCTTTGGAGTCAAAGGTGTTGATCGTATTTTTTCAATCTGACCAGAAGCGGTGCATCCAATCAATGATACCTGGGTTTTTCAAGATCTGGGTATTTACCCGGAAGTATCCTGACCCTCGATCGATCCCGTGAACCGTGAAAGAGGCAACAAGAGGCTTATGGTCTGAGATGGGGTTTGAGAGATTTTCTACATTCACTGTAACAAGCCAAACTTCGGGAGAGAGAAGAAAAAAATCCAGTCTTCTCCTTATACAGTCTTTATCCTTGTGGACATTGGAGACCCATGTATATCCTGGCTCGCCAGGGTGAAGTAAACTGAAAGGTTCGACCATGTCCAACTCAGACACTAGCTCGGTAAGCTTAATAACGTCATTATTACCTTTGACAGCCTCCTGCCACTCCGAACAACTTATGGGGGCATAAACTGTAAAAATTACCCAATCTTGTTGATTGATACAAATTTTAATCCAATATCACCTTCCCCACAAGTTCGCACAGAAGTTCACGATCTCAGCATTAAAACATCAATGGATTAGAATGGCGACCTCTCCTTTAGAACCTCTGGCCGGCGACCAGATTTGAGGACCATCCCACCACTGCCCCAACTCCATAACTTTCTCTTCGGACAGTTTCGTTTCCTGTAAGCAAAGAATATCAATTTTGTGTTCATGCATCCAACTTTTTAAACGCCCTTTCTTATCCTTCCCATCCGAATCACCTAACCCACAAATATTCCACGTCGCAACCCTAAGCCTGCCCATTCATCCATGTTGTCCCAGGTATTTGGATCTGGAAGGAGCTCCTTCCTTGGTTGTTTTCCGCTGGCCATGGCTCCATCAGAGCTTGTTTCACAAAGGGGGCATCTAGTTTCTTCTCCTTGCCCAACTTGGAGTTCAGCTCGTGCAAAAACTCTGCCATCAGGTTCGGGGTGATCCTGATCCTGCGGAGGTCAGCACAAAAACCAGGGGAAAGGGATAAGCCGAAGACCTTCCTTCTCCAAAAAGTCGAGTTGGCCAGGGAGAAAATGTGCGTAAAAAAGTAGGGCAAAAAATTTAGCACGATTACCAGAAATATCAATAATAAAGCGAGGCAAAGGTATTTCCTCAATAATACGGAAGGCGAATTTGTTTTGGAAGAGAGAGCGCGTGAGGGTCTCGGCAGCACGGGGCATGAGCGACTCTGGACAAGACATACTCAGAATGGTCAAGATGCCATCCGGACTATTCCAAATAATTACCCATAGGGTCTCCCTCACCGCAATACATACAATTGGAATGAGCTTGGTTTCGATACAACTCTGTCCTTTGGACAGAGATTCCATCCGACCACGCCCTATTTTCTGCTTACCTGTTGCCCCTGATGGGGTTTGGCTGCTGGAAGGAAGAGAGCCTTCTGTGGAACTTCCGGAGGCTTCCGCCCGAAGGCCATCGACCGGGATATCTACCCCGCTCTCTCCGCTGACTCGACATTGCTTGCTGGGGGACTCTCCCCTGACGCGACTTTGAGAATGGGCAGCACCCCCCTGGGGGGGTGGAGTTCCTCCTCCTGGCGGTGGGGGAAGGCCAGCTTGGCCGTATCCCCACGACATGAACGCATGCATATTCACATATGATGGACTTGCTCCTAGCGATGAACCTGGTGGAGGCATGCCTTGTTGATGCTGAAGAAATGGGTGCGGCGGTACATTCTGGAAGTAAGAAGCCCAAGCCAAGTTTATGGCTGGGTTGGCGGCACCCTGGTTGGGGAAGAAGATTCCACCCCACTCCTTGTGGCTGGCTTGAGGAGAAGATTGGGTTAACCCGCAGGGTAGAACCCCTTGGGGCACTTGACGCTGCAGCTTCGTTGACCCCTTGATTTACAACTTGTTGAGTAGCCGCTCCTGGCGATCTAAGCACTCCTTGATAGGGCTGATGCGAACCCCTCGTCCCTGAGTTTGGCGATGCTTGTGGCCGAGCGGAGTTAGCTCGTCCTTGGTTCCTTCGTTCAGGTCTACGACACGTATCCTCCGAGTGAAAGAAGGTTCGACATCTTCTGCACCACTCTGTTTCTGCATTCGCCATTCTCACTTCCAACTCATTGCCTTGATGGGTTTCTACGCATATCTTATCCTTCATGTTCTCCTTGCAGCTTGCGTCMATATCGAAGCGGATGTTGACAAGCTTCGGATCTTCTTCGTCTGCTTCAGGTTGATGTCTCTTCAAGATCTTCCCAATTGCTCGCTCTACGTGCGTATGCAGGAAGACCATTTCCCCCAAGGGGACTCCCACTGCCACTACCCAGAAGATGTTGTCATCGATGGTCCTTCGCCAATCTCTTACTTCCGCTCGCGTCATCCACGATTTAAATTCCGTGCGATACGTAGTACCTGCCAAGTCGATGAAGTCGGATCTCTTGGTTAACATCCAATCGGTAACTTCCTGAGATCTTTGGATGTACGAGACCACGTTCGGGCTCTCGACCTTAATTTTACCCCTCTTGAATTCCACACCAAAGGTGTCGTCACTTATCCAGCCATCCTCATACGCCCTGATAACATCTTCCTTGACTCTTTTTGGTAGGAAGCGAGCCCCATCCCTGAAGATAACAGTCACCGTCCTTCGCTTCAGCCATTTCACTTTCATTTCGTCCACCGTGTTGTTTAAGACAAACTTCACCTCTCTTCTTGAAACCTCCATCGTCCCTCCGTCAATCTCTTCCGGAATGATACCCTCTTCATAACATGCTCTTACCATCTCCATCACCCTTTCTTCTTCCAGTCTATAATCCATCGTAACCTGTGCTCTGGCATCGCTTGACCCTTGTGGAGGGGGGGGTGGTTCCGTTTCCGTCCTGAGACATAAGTCCTACTTACCAGTGTACACTTCTCCGGGCTACTTACTTCGCCCTCCTTACTCTACCCACTAACTTGTTCTCGGCGACAGGTGGGCGACGGCCAAATCTGACCACTGGCACCATCAACTATAGCCATAGGTCTTCGTAGAGACGAACGACAGTGAGGTGTCACCTGCGATGGTAGTTCCTTGGTGGAGCCGACATCGCTGGCCAGGCCTGCCGAACCGGCAAGCAGCGCTAGGGCCGAGTGCTAACGCACCAGAGCTAACGTTGAAGCGTCGCCGCCCCCGTATGCGACTTTCCTAGGCTTACCTTAGTCAGTTTCGCTTCAACCAAAAGAAAAAATGAAAGAGAAAACAAAATATAAAAAGACACAGCCGATCTTATCCTATCTCTATGCGTACGAGAATTGAAGTCGACCATGGTGAGACCGATTGTGCAAGACTTGCTCTACAACCGGCTTCGAATCTTCTGGGAGGCTCGACTGACATTGCTGTGGAGGACAAGACAACAGTTGAGAAGATGGAGATATTGCCAGAACATGAAGGAAAGACATCAGGGGGAAGTAACCCAGAGAGGCCGCAAGAGAAGGATGAAGGAACCGGAGCTGTAGTGTATTTGGATGCAGACACAGAGGAAGGCGAGGAAACACAATCCATGAACCAGAAGTTGGTGGCAGCAACTGTTGATATAGTTCACGAATTTTTTCCGTTCACATGGAACCCCCTGAACAATGAATCATTCACATTAAGAGTACAATATCTCCAATGTTTGGGAGCGGGCAAGTGGTTGACGACAAATATCGTTGACTTTTACTGCCATTACGTATATTACTCACTCACACGTAAGGTTGTTGACCTCACACACGTTAAATTGTTGCCCGCTCTATGGTACAACGGAATACAGGGGCTCCACAAGGACGCGAGTTTGAGCAGCCCTCCTGATCTGAAGACGGTAACGCGAAGTTCAAAGTCGAAGGCGAAAAACATGAGGAGTTTGTGAAAAAATCAAGTAGTTATTGTTCCTCTGCTATGCAATAACCATTTTACTATTCTCGTGTTGAACAACATAGGATGCATGCTACAACATCCACATCTCGACCAACCAAGAGACTGCGCCATTTTCCACCTAAACTCCAAGAAACGATCGGGTAATCCTCCGTTTGAACCTTTGTTAACCTATTTCTTTTACGAGCACATGGCGTTACGGTATTCAACTGATGTTGAAGTTACGACCGTGACCATAGAATCGACATGGAGAACATTGATGCAAGGTGTATCTTTCATCGACGAGATTGATTGTCATCAACAACGGAACTCAAACGACTGCGGTGTATTTGCCACGAGGAATGTTGAGAGCATGCTTATGTACATCGCAAACGACGAGCAATTCGAGTTCACGAAAGACACAATGACGAAGGCTTGCGAACGTTTGTCGTCAAGAAAGTCTTGTGAGCAACGACACATAATGATCAAGGCTTTGGCGGAGTCATACCCCGCGGCATGCGGAACACAGACAACAAATGACAAGTACGTTGTTTTCAAGAAGTTTACATCAAGCAGGAGGAAGGCAGCGACAAAATGATGAAGCACGCACTTGAAGAGGTGAGCTAAGATATGGATGTGCGGCGACTCGTAGATTTCGTTAGTTGAAACATTGAACAAGTACGCAAATAATGATAAAGATAAGACAAGGTAGGTGAAATTTTTAACATAAGTCCACAAATTTATCATTGCATATGTAATGTAAAAATACGTACTTCTGTTCACGAAAAGCAGGGTCGAGATAAAGTCCCGCTGCTGAGATGAAATTTCACTAATGACAAATTTTCCATGTCCTACGTTACGTGTCTTCTTCCTCTTCACAGAATTGGTGAGCGATATAGACGAAGTACTTGCCACCAATGAACAAGCACACATTACGGGTTCGCCGAGGGTCTGATGTTAAAGGGACATCGACGCAACGAAGGCTCTACGTTCGCGAAGAAGGGGTGTCACGACAACAGACGAATGTCGGTGCACGTCTCGTACAGGAACGAAACAAAGTTCGAGATATAACACGGCATGGAACATCTGAAGAAGAGTGTACGAACAAGAACGGAGCGTTGGAGGACAAATTTGGTCGAAATGCACCGCGAAGCTAGCAAACGGAAATTGCAGATGGAAGAAACAGAGAAGCGAGATAACGACATTGACATCTGACGTAGGGAAGAGTCTTCGAAGTATACTCCGAAGTCGAAGATAGTATGCAGAAAAATGTTGGCCGGAGCAACCCCTCTTGCTCCAAGTAAGTATGTCACCGAAAAGAAACGGGAGCACAACAAGGGTGAAGCGACTGTTGTGGACAGTGCAGAAGTAGGAGGAAGCGGTGAGGATATCGAAGGCAGCATGCGTTGTGGTCGGCAGGCGGGCCAGAGCAGTGGAGACAGACACATTGGTGGTCACGACACTCAGCACAGGCAGCGGCATGTGGAACGAGAAGGTCGACAACCATTATTGACAGAGTGCGAAGAGCAGCAGCTGGAGCAAAAAGAAGCAAATACGAAAGAGGACGATTCAGAGGACGAGAACAACAGAGACAGCGACGATTTTGGTGAACGTGAATCGAATGAAGACGAGGATGATGATAATGAAGACGGTCGTGAAGAGGATGACGAGAACGATGCATAATTCACAAACGAGAAAGCAGTAGGTAAAGCATTATGTGAAATCTTGTAAAGTTGTTTGTGACATTAAAAAAATGTGGAAGAAAAAGATAACAACATTGAAAACGATTATCCTGTTTACATTCTCGCTTATGATTTGTACGTGTTTAATGAACATGTAAAAGTGACCAGCATAATAATTGTGTTTTCCGTTTGTTTTTGCTTTTTTTGTCTCTGTGTGTTCGTCCTTTGTGTCTGTGCAGTTATGCGAGGACGTGAAAAACGGGATGCGTCGGAGAAAAGCAAGCTCAACAACCGCATTAGTGACAACATCCACACGTTATACGCGCACTCCAAAATAGTGAAGCAATTGATGCGTTGCGTAGCGATGGCCTTATGTTTATCTCGAGCCAAGGATGCAGAGATGTATCCGTCAGTCGACACGTATCTCGAATCCTTCAGGGGTCTCATCGAATCTCTGGACCCAGATACACGATTCATCGTAGATCGGTCGATGAAGAGCACAACACCGATAACACTTCGCACACTCGGATCAAGGGAGCTGACGAACATCCGAGGAGAGATCGCTTACGACATTGTCAGGGCTTTTTGGAGCGCCGCGGGGTTGCCTTATCCATGCGGAACTGTAAGAGATCATTTTGAAAAAGAGCGAGAGGAAATGAGGACGAAAATGCTCGATTATTCATCGTGGAGAGTGAAAGGCGAAGAGCCGTGGGGCGCAACAGAGTTTAAGAATGTCGTGCAAGACGTTTTATACAGAGATTGGAACGAAGCAGGTCGAAATGGTTGCACTCTCCAACAACTCGCATTCGCTCATATGGTGTTAGAGTGTCACATCAGCAACAAAAGTCNAGCGCCGCGGGGCTACCTTATCCATGCGGAACTGTAAGAGATCGTTTTGAAAAGGAGCGAGAGGAGATGAGGACGAAAATGCTCGAACAATCATCGTGGAGAGTGAAAGGCGAAGAGCCGTCGAGCGCAACAGAGTTTAAGAATGTCATGCGAGACGTTTTATACAGAGATTGGAATGAAGCAGGTCGAAATGGTTGCACTCTCCAACAACTCGCATTCGCTCATATGGTGTTAGAGTGTCACATCAGCAACAAAAGTCGACCCGCACGCACGGCAGCAGCGAGCAAGGAAATACGAAGAATAGAAGAAGCCATCGTGTCAACTTGCAAGACCGGTATCGGAAAAGTGACTATAAAAAAATGCAAAAGATGAGGTCGTTCAAATGAAGAATGATCATAGATTTTTTGAAATCTTTGCAGATAGTGACGAGGTGATTGCTGAGGAGAGGTCTAAGGACGTTTGTGATATTAGTATTTTGTCATTTCCGTATAATACTTTGATTTCGCATACAGCAAGGTGGTAGTGAAGACGTCGTGAGAGTTGAATATGATATTGAGGACTATTGATTGATTGATTGATTGAGAGAGAAAGAGAGATAGAGAGAGAGAGATGTTATGACGTCTGTGACATTTGTACTTTGTACGTTTTGTACAGTACTTGGACTTCGTGTACGGCGAGATAAATGTCAAGAGGTCATTCTAGTTGAATATGATATCGTCAACTATTTAGACTCGGAATGAGAGGGAGAGGTATGTAGAAAGAGGCAGGAAACAAACAAAGGAGACATAATCGGTGTGATGTGTGTTTGGTACGACGACATGATTTTGCAGACATGTGTTACAGGTGTGTTGTGTATTGCTATGCTAGTTGGGGTGAATGAACAACAAAGACGACTATGAAATGTCTCAAGCGTTGTGAAATTTTTTTTTATTTTTTTTTTAAGTGGACAAAACACATTCGTGGTCATGTTTAAAGTGCCTTAGTGTGGACTAAATGTAACAGGTACAATGAGAAGTGTGTGTCGGATTTATATTTTGCCAAAGAAAATATTGATAATTGCGATATTTGCATCCGTTAAGAGGTTTTCACGACCAAAGAAAATACATAACCCTATAGACGCTAATTCCTCTTGTGATATAACGACAAATAGATATTGTGAAACACACACATATGCAGAGAGAGAGAGAGAGAGAGAGAGAGAGAGAGAGAGAGAGAGAGAGAGAGAGAGAGAGAGAGAGAGAGAGAAACAAGCATAAGTGTCGCGACGGATCTATATTGATTGTCACACTGAAAGTTGCAACTATTTTTAAACGATATATTTTTTTTTCACTACGATATCTTAATGTTGCTCAGATATTGCAATGAGTTAGGCAACCAATTCCCAAACGTTTGCGCATACCAGGGATACAGTATAACCGCAAATGACTTAACAGCGGATCGAACGTTGGAAAATGTTTGTCATATTGATTTGGAAGTCCGCAGGGAAGTCATCAACGTTTCTTGTGTTGAAGTAAGGTTCAACACATGTGTGTTTATCGGTTAAGGTTAAAAACCGGTGTGTGTTAGAGAACTGTTGTCACTCGATACAGTCAACTAATTTTCAACACAAGGATGTATAAAAACATAACTGGGAAGACCGGGATTTTTTTCTGTTGTATATATATATATATATATATATATATATATATATATATTCTTTATATATTTTTTTCCTTTTTTTTTTTTTTGTGAAAGAAAGGACACCCCACATATGGTAGTCGTTAACAACAACATATAATGGGGGACCAAGTCCCACTAGCAGGGTTGAGCTACCTCAACGCCTGAATCTGGACATGTTTGTAGAGACGCGCAGTTCAGGAAACTCACCACCATATCTGCATATCTCTGCAAAAACGTCCAGATTCAGGCGTTGAGGTAACTCATCCCACTAGCAGGGTTGAGCTACCTCAATGCCTGAATCTGGACGTGTTTGTGGAGAGGCCCAATTCAGGAAACTCAACACCATATCTGCACATCTCCGCAAAAGAGTCCAGATTCAGGCGTTGAGGTAGCTCAATGCTGCTAGTGGGACTTGTATTCTACAGAAGCAGGACCATACGAAGGCCAATCAGGATCAATCAAGACACATACACAAGAGACTGCAAATACAAGGCAGACCATGAAAACGACTCACGACACGACCTAGACATAGCTTGACAAAAAACCCAAACGTGACAACCGTTTCCGAATGATAATACACGAAGCGCAGTAGCAGTAGTGGAGGAACCACGTTCCTCATCGGCGACGACCTTGCCGGTTTCACATGGCCGCCGGCCACTTCACATAAAAACCAGATTTTTAGGGAGCATTACCCCAGTTCGCTTTGACTGCCTATCCTATGAAAATCACCAAAGAGTTAAAAAAAAAAAAAAAAAAAAAAAAAAATCACCAGAGAAGGGGGAGAGTACTGACTGGGGCGAGGTCCCACTAGCAATCGGATAGGATAAAAAGGAGTTTGTGGGGCAGTTGAGTGTGACCCAAATCCTGTCGTGTAGTACTGGCTGTCGAATAATGTCTTCCCACCTGTTGAGGGGTTGCTTGTCAGGCAAGGGAATTTTTCTCCAGGTCTTGAGAATTTTTATCCAGAATGGATCTTTACTGATGTCCTGTCTTACACTACGACTCTCATAACAGGTTTTCCGGACCCTTCAATGGGCTCTCTCATCCACACTAGCATTCCTACGTAAACGGTGCTCAATCAAAAACCTTTTAATTGCGAGGAAGCAACCATGGACAAAAGACCAACTTGCCTTCCTGTACCGAAACCAGACGGCCACCTGTTGCCCAGGTGCGGGAAAACCACAAGGGGCTCTTCGTTTGCCAATCTGCGATAATAGTGAGTCTAATCTGGATCAGTATCGATGTCTTTTGCTTTTCGGGGCACATTGGTGCATCTAAGATTTTTTTTTTTTTTTTTTTTTTTGGAAAGCTTAGACATTCATTACACCAAGAAATCAATGGGACGAGGCCCCTCACAATTCGACCCAGAGTTATCCTGGCAGCCTCAGCCAGTTTCGCTTACGAGCAGAGCTCAAAGTTCCACCTACTATTCCAGAATCTCTTAATCCCATCGTTGCTGGAAACCGGGTCCAGCGTCCCATGTTATTACAAAATAACTTAAAAAAAAAAAAAAGCATGAAGTGCCAGTAAAAAAAAGGGGGACTGCCTGCGCAGTCAGATTTACCTTACCCAACAATTTTGCCTTAAAGCATACATGAATAACCTACCAAAACGCTTGACTGGGTTATTTCGACTAAAAACAGTCAACATCTTAAAAGTCTTTATTCTTCTGTGCAAAGAGCCCAGGGAAGAGTCATCCATATTGCAGGAACAAAGAATGACTTTTCTTGTCCTCTTTGTATCGTCACTCGTGTGTATCTGACAACCAATTCAAGTTAGAGAGCTTTATCTTCCCTACATCATTAAAGAAAGTCAGCCTTCCTTCCTTGGCTTAGTATGTGGCTAAAGAAGGGACAACCTTATTGCACAGCACAAGGCTGACTTTCCTTATTCTCTTTTACTTTGTCATTCATGGGTATCAGACAATCAACTACAGAGTCTTATTTTCCCTTCAGTCTTAAAGGAGGCCAGCCTTCCTTCCTTGGCCCAGGTCTTATGAAATCTCACAAAATTCATCGTTTGACCCTCTGTACGTCCCTTGTCTGACTTGTTGTTGTTGTTGTTGCAGCGGAGTTACTTCCCCCCGGAATGCTCTGGCATTTCTGGCCTTCCATATCACTTCCATGAGGACCCCTCTGCAGCAGAGGGCCATATAGCCCCAATCACTTGTATAATACAGACCCTGAGGAAGAAGCCCTGTAAAAATCCAAAAATCTGACCATTCTATAACCCCCCTTGTGATACTCCTCCAATGGTGTTTCCACCATCTTAGGAACTCCTCTGTCAAGGGACAGGAGAGCCAGATATGGACCACATTCTCCCAAACCCAGTTACATCGCATGCATGTCGTAGATATCTCCATCCCTCTGGAGGATAACCACATTGTTGAGGCTGTCACTAGTAGGGATTGGAGCCACATAATACTTGCATGTTTTTTGTATTGGAGTCTTCCTTGACGCCTTCCACAGACCCTGGAGGCCCATTTCCATGACCTCACCACCTTGGTAGGATTCAACTCGATGTAGTGCCAAAGATGACGTTGTTTTCTTCAATTTACTTTGCTGGCTTTGAACACGAACCTTCGGTTTGTACGGCGCAAGAGGTGTTTGTGAGGGTTGTCCTTCCCATCCTTGCAGAAGGGGCTCCACCTTGAAATCGCTTGCTTTACCCAAGTAGGTTGCCTTCACTCTTCTATTGTGTACCCTTCGAATTAAAACCCGTCCTTCCTCCAGGTGCCTTGAGTGCTGGATGTGTACATTTTTCTCCAACACTATCAGGGGCTTCTTAAAGTTTGAGCCATCGGGAATTCGCCATCTTTCTGCTCTTACTCCCTGAGCCAAATCTGGACTTGTTACATGCAACACCTGATACGGCTGGTCCTCTGCCAAAAGCCATGACCCAATAGGTTGATCTGTATCTGGCTGCAGCTGCTTGAACCAACAGTGAGGGATAGCCTTGATAAGCGCTTCTCTATGCTCAGCAACCTTACGTAGATGTGAGAGTTTTCTGCGAAGGATGGGGAACTCCAAAAAATCTACTTTTGCAATGTCCCAAATATCCCGCACCTGCAAAACACCTTTCTTCACCCATGCTTTCCCAAAACCTCTTGGGACTTTTGCTGCTGAGAAGGACAATCCATTTTCCTGCAAAATCTCTGGATTCTCGAAAAACTGTTGGTTCAGTATTTCCTGCACCGTCTTTGGTGTGTAATGTTCACAAGGCCGAACCTTGTTCCACGCCCCCAATATGCTCCTCCACTCCGAGCCTAATATATATTCTGCCAAATTCATCTAAAGTTTCGTATCCAATCCAGTCATGGCCTGTATCGGCCATTTTGCAAGTAAGGCGATGTTTTGCTGAACTGGGTCCAAAATTCCCAAACCCCTTTTCTTCTTGGGGGTCACCACCACTTCCCAGGCCGCCTTCGAGAGGT